GGAGGAGGAGGAGGAGGAGGAGGAGGAGGGGGGGGAGGAGGGCGAGGAGGAGGATGTGGAGGTGCCAGACTGGGAGGAGGAGAAGCAAGAGGAGCAGAAGGAGGAGGAGAAGGAGGAGGAGGAAGAGGAGGAGGAGGTGCCGGAATGGAAGGAGGAGAAGCAAGAGGAGCAGTAGGAGGAGGAAGAGGAGGAGGAGGAGGAGGAGCCAGAAGGGGAGCAGATGGTGGAAGAGGTGGGCCTGGACCTGGAGACATGTGATGCAGTGGGGGAAAAGGGGGAGGAGGGGGGAGAGAAGCATCGGTGGAGTCCGCGGAGGAGGCGGGGGAGGAGGGGGGGGCTGCATATCTTTGGCGAGCGAGTGGCGGCCGCAGGAGGCGCTGCGCCAGTACCGGGCCGCACTGGACGTGTACGGCTTCGTCGAGAAGTGGGAGGCGCATCCTCCTGTGAAGGCCCGCCAGCCACGGCGGGAGGAGGTTTCTCCCTCCCCCCTCCCTCTCCTCCACCTTCTCCTCCGCCCTCCCTCCCCGTCCTCCTCCCTTTTTCTCTTAGCCACCTCCGCCCTCCCTCCCCGTCCTCCTCCCTCTTTCTCTTAGCCAGGGCCCCACATCCCTTGAGGACAGAGCGCGGCCACAGGTGCAGACTCTCCAGCGGTCCCTCTGAGTCCGCATGGGCAGGCTGGATGTGCCACATCCCGCACAACCACCCCTCATACCGCGCCGCCATGTCCTGCGCCGCCGTTCTTGCTTCGTTCCGAGCGGTGACCACCGCGTGGATTCTGATTTCAGCGACCCGACGTGCCCGACTTCGGAGGGCGGCAGTTGCCTCGTGGCGCGCCCCCTACATCGGCTTCTACGTCCTGCGCTCCTTTTCGAACTCGCCCATCACGGGAAAGATCTTCTTCCTGCCAGCCTGGTAGTTTCTGGCTACTCTCCCTTCTCCTCCTCCTCATCATGTAGTCCAACCTGTTCCCTCCAGGCTGACCGCCCCAGGGGCGGTGACGTGCAGCTCGCTCGGTCGGGGCGATCTGCGGGGAGCGCCTGAGGTGGCACCAAGGGCCCCCGCAGTACCAATGCGTGGGTCGTTGAGCTGTACTGTAAGGGATCCACCTTGCGGGATACGGGGCTTGGCTAAACTCGTGCGCAGCGATGTCTCACGTGCCATCGGCCTTGCTTGCCTCTGTTCAGCCGTCCCCTTGTATGGTTCCGATTGATCACCATCTTGTTTTACATCGGCTTGCTCCTCCGTCCTTGTCCGCTCTGTGATGCCATACAGTGGGGGCGCGCATCAAGAAACCATCTGCTTTTCGTCAGGGTATCCTGAATTTCTTCGCTCCGCGTGCCGCGCGGTGGCTTCCCGCAGCCAGGGAAGGAGCGGCTGCGTTCAGGGTGCTCCAGGCTTCCCCTCAGGTGCACCTCGCGCGCGGGTTTTCAGCGGTGGGTTTCTTGCGGCGGCCGCGCCCAGACTGTACCACATTGCCTGTTCTGCCACAGTTGCGTCGCAGCCGAGATGCTGTACTGCGGAGGCCCCGGCCGACAAAGGCGCGGCCGCCCGCGCGGGCGACGAGGCGCCGTGCGTTGTGTCCACACAAGCGTTAAATCGGGCACGTCCCTCTACAGGAGGAATAATCAACAATAGTATAAACATAGTATGGGGTTTATTTTTCAGTACCCCCCGCCCCCGTGCCCTGACCTACCTGCCCAGGCCTGCGCGCTAGCATCCGAGCCGTCGGGGCCCAGTTGCGTCGATTGCGTTCGGCTCATCACTCGGTGGCCATCCTCATCCCTTTCGCTAGTCCATGTTGTCAATGCACGCGCGAAGTGCTGTTCATGTTAGACAACGGACAACATGGATGAGCGGAGCTGCCGAGGGAACCAAACAAACAAGATTGTGATGCACCCGATGGGGGCGAGGATCTGTCTGTGATTTTTTATTCTCATCATTGCGAAGGCCTTACGGCCGGTGCCGCCGACCCTGAGAACGACGAAGATGAAAACGAGGGGGGGGAGCAGGGGGAGGAGGATGAGTGGGAGGTGGAGGAAGGGTGGAGGAGGTGGATGAGGGAGGAGGAGGAGGGGAGAAGGATGTGGAGGAGAAGCAAGAGGAGGAGAAGGAGGCAGAGGAGAGCAGGAGGAGGGGGAGCAGAGGGGGGGGAGGAGGAGGAGGAGGAGGAGGAGGAGGAGGAGGAGGAGGAGGAGGAGGAGGAGGAGGAGGAGGAGGAGGAGGAGGAGGAGGAGGAGGAGGAGGCCAGAGGCTTTCTTGGGACAGCCCGGTGCTCTCTTGAGGCCGTCTTGGGCCGTCCAGGGCTCCTTTTGCGCCGTCTCGAGGCACTCTTGGAGGCCTCCTGGGCAATTTTGGGCTCTCCTGGGCTGTCTTGGGGCAGCTTGGGGGCCCCTTGGGAGCCTCTTGGGGCCTCTTGGGGCTTCTTCGGGGCCTCTTGGGGGCCTCTTGTGGCTGAGAGCTCGAAATGTCCGTTCGGATCCCCCGTCTGGGCACTCTCCTGGAGCCGTCTTGGGAGGCCGTCTTGGAGGGTTTGGGCCGTCTTGGGGCCCTCTTCGGCCGTTAGGGGACCCTCTTGGGGGCCTCTTGGGCCGTCGTCTCGGGGCGATCTTGGGGGCCTCTTGGGCCGTCTTGGCGTGTCGGGAAACGGAAGAGGCAAGAACGCCAAAATCTTCCAAAAACGTGTGGGAAATCCATGAATTTTGCCTCTTGGAGCTCTCGTGGGAAAGCTCCTGGAGGCCTCTTGGGGCGCTTTGCAGGCCTCTTGGGCCGTCTGGAGGCCGTCAAGGCGTCTTGGATAGATCGTTCTCTTGGACTGCCTTTGGGGCACTCTTGGCCCGTCTTGGAGCTTTTTTGGGCTCCGGGACTCCCAGGAGGGGCGTCGTATCTGACCCCCCTCCCCTGGACCCCCCCCCCCTCCCCCCTCCCGGGCGGGGGAGGGATAGAAGGGAAGCGGCTTCCCTTCGACTCAATTACGACGTTGCTCAGTTTTGCTTTGGCTGGCGCGCTGAGGAGGTCCCTGGGAAACGGGGGAGTTTCGACGAGCCCAGGGAAAAGGGGGAGGCATGGAAAGGGGACGACAGAGACGACGACCAACGAATGACGGAGATGACGACTTGAACGGACAAGCCCCTCACACACGCCGACCGGGTAGGCGGATTTTGCTGATCGGCACGGGCCCTCGCACCCCCCCTCCCCCCACCATGGAGTGGATCTAGGGTGTTTTTGGCGCCTGTTTCGAGCAGATGGAGCCTCTCCCCCCGACGACACACGGTTCCAAACAGCCGCATGAAGCAGAGGTCATGAGCCAGACCCCTCCCCTCCCCTCCCCTTCTGCCCAATGTCGAAACGCCGAAAAAGAGAACAATCACTTTCATACGTCCATGGCTGCCGTCCCCTGGATCCGTTTCACAAATCTCGGGTTGACCCAAAAGGGGGTCCAGCGACAAGGGGGTGCTGCAATAGATTTGGTGCAATAGATTTGTGGGGCTGCAATACATTTGGGGCGTACATTTGGGGGGTGCAAGAAAAAACAATTCGGGGCGCCAATGTATTGCTGCACTTTCGCGTGCAGTGCATGACTTGCAATACAGTGCAATACAGTTCTCCGGCGCAGTACATCTGCAACACAATTGCCCCAAATCTATTGTACCACCCCCTTTCAGCTGGACTCCCTTTAGGTCACCCCGATGGAAGGAAGATATACCCCATACACAGCCGTGACAAAAGTTTCTTCAATTTGCTATGATGAAGATCTCTCCCATCCCTCTCGATATTCCTAACATGACATGATGCTGGGATCATTCGGCGGAGTAGTTTCCGATCCCGGAGACGTTAATAACTCTGTTACCCCCAAACGGGATCGGAAACTACTCCGCGCCAAACCATATAAATTATGGAGCGGGATGCGATTGCGCGCCAGGTAGTTTTAGCAAAACTACTCCGAACTACTCCGCACGAGCGTGTCTTTCCAAAAGGCAACTTGCAAGAAACTTTCGTCACGGCGATGTATGTATACCCCCGCCAGTGGGAAGAACACGCGCTCGCTCTCCTCCTCCTCCTCCTCCTCCTCCTCCTCCTCCTCCTCCTCCTCTTCCAGTGAGGCAGAGGGGCAGAGGAGCAGAGGCTGGACCCCCTTCTGGGCCCCTCCCAAGAAAATCCACGGGGTCGCGGCCCCGTGCGCCTGCACGGCGGCGGTGTCGGGGCAAAGGGGGTCGAGCTGCGCAGCGCCCGGTGGGCCTCGCCAGCGACAGATCGGCCACCGCAGGTTTGGGCGCGGTTTTTGTTGCGGGCGCGGGTAGGCCGAGGTGGGACCTGTCCCTCCACAGGAGGGATATGCAGAGGTAGCCAACATAAAATAGTCGGGGGACGATTTCTGGATTATTTTTTTGTGCATTTGTTTTTTTTTACATTCTTTTATTTTTCGTCCACGCCCGACCGAAGGGTAGGCCGTGCGTGCACGCGGTCGCGGCAGGGATTGGAAGTTCTCCCGTAGTGCCCCGCCCCGGACCACCTTGCGCCGGTCGCAGCCAACCGCAATGCAGATACAGCGCACCCAGAATCTGGCCGCACCCTCGTGGCGTGCCGCCACAGGGCGGATGCCGACCGGCTACTGATTTTGAGAATGTGCCCCTCCTCTCCCAGTGCCCGCGTCGCAGAGCCACGGATCATTGATCCATGTTAGCGTTTGCTTGAGAGGAGGAGGGGGAGGAAGAGGAGGGGGAGGAGGAGGAGGAGGAGGAGGGAGGAGGAGGAGGAGGAGGAGGAGGAGGAGGAGGAGGAGGAGGAGGAGGAGGAGGAGGAGGAGGAGGAGGAGGAGGAGGAGGAGGAGGGGAAGGAGGAGGAGGAGGAGAGGAGGAGGAGGAGGAAGGGAAGGAGGAGGAGGAGGATGAGGAGGAGGAGGAGGAGGGAGGAGGGAGGAGGAGGAGGAGGAGGGAGGAGGAGGAGGAGGGGGAGGGAGGAGAGGGAGGAAGCAGGATTCTGCCCCCGCGCCGCTCTCCGAGGCCATGGTCCGCGAGCGGCGCGAGGAGCTCCTGGCCCGCGCGGAGGCGCTCCAGGCCGGCCCGTGCGCGGTGGCGGCGGCCGCGCGGTGCGGCGCCGACGGCGGAGCGGCCGAGGCGCCGGCCAGCCGAAAGTCCACGGGCTTTCATGGTGGGCCTGTTTTACACCACAACCAGAAGTTTGAGGGGGGAAGGAGGTGGAGGACGAGGAGGAGGAGGAGGACGAGGAGGAGGAGGACGTGGAGTAGGAGGAGGAGGAGGAGGAGGAGGAGGAGGAGGAGGAGGAGGAGGTTGGAGGAGGAGGAGGAGGAGGAGGAGGAGGAGGAGAAGGAGGAGGACCCCCTCCCCCTCCAACTTATGGTGGTGGAGGTGGAAAGCAAGCCCATCATTTCAGTCCTGTGGACGTTGTCTTTCGTGCGAGGCGTTCCAGCCAGGGCCTTGCCTGCGAGGATCGAAGGAGTTGGCATCTCCTCCGCGGCGGAAGGGCGGCGGAAGTAACACGAGGCCGCCTCCGCCGGCGTAGGCTCGGCGGAAGCAAAAAATACGCCCCCAGGATCTGACAACATTTTTGGGTTCGGGGTTTCCGAAACACCCCATGTGACGAAAGAACGCCGCACACCCATACCAATAGGGGGATCTGAGGATGGAGGGCTGGCTATGGGTATGGGTGCGGGTTGTCGGACCGCGGGGGAGGCTCCTGTTCGAGCGGAGGACCCCATCCGACAACACGCACCCATAGCCCCCGCCGTCCCCCCTATGGGTATGGGTGTATGTTGTTCGCTCGTTATCACGGGGGCCTCAGAGGGTCCCAGAATTCCTAGCGGTTTGGGGGATCTCGTCTGGATGTCCTTGGATTTGGCCGGCAGTTGGTCGAAATCTGGACGGAGTCAGGACGGAACCTGGCCGAAAGGTTGAGGAGGGGTGGTCGACATCCGGTCGGAGTCGCGTTTGCGAGAAAGGCCCCTGGGTGCAGGATCCGAGGTACGGGCCCGGGCCAGAAGTCCACGCGTGTGCAGCTTCCCTAGTGAGCGACGCACAACAAAAATGGGGTCGTTTGCTCCGACATCGTCGCGTAAGCTGAAGTCCACACGTGTGCAGCTGTCCTAGTGAGCGACGCAACAGAAAAATGGAGTCGTTTGCTCCGACATCGTCGCGTCAGCTGCCCGCGTATGGTCGCGCGTGAGCGCTGTCTTCTCCGAAGTTTAGGCCACCGCGTAAGGTCGCCACGCCATCTCGCATAAAGACCCGTTTTTGATCGTCGCCTAGTGGGGAAACGCATATAAGCTGGATCGCGGGCTTACCGATGCTTTTTGGCGTGCCCGTCCGGAATTTTGACGTCCGGTTTTCGTGGATCGTTTGCAGCAGGAGTTCGCGTCAAAATTTTCAGGTTTGGGTCTTGTTGTTTTCCTGACGGCCCCGTTATGTCAACCCGAGTCCCCCGTGCAATAGTCATTCTGTTTATCTGATAATGCTGGTCCCTGCTATTGCTGTTGCATGCTCTCACCCCTCTGCCCGTAAACATATTGGCTGAGGGGGCCCCCTTTTGCCTACGCTACCAGCTAGCATAACTTATCATTTGCAGCGAGAAGGTCTTGGAATAAAAGATTCACGCATTTCATCAACGCCTGCGTGTGCGTTGCATTGGTAGCGGAGCGTGTATTCCGAGCTCCCTCGCAGGGAGAACCCTTTCGGCATCAGACAGTTTCTTCCCGGACACTCCCGTGCAGTCGGACAGATCACGACGGATATTACATCTCGCACGATGGCTGACCGGAGGCCTGCTGCTGCCGCTGGTTCTCGCGGTGCCGCCGCACCGAAGAAGTACGGAGATCGTCGATACAAGGGCAAGCACCCTCGAGACGGAGCTGCGGCAGCGGCTACGCCTGACGATGAGACCTACGAAGAGGAATGGGCCGACGAGTGGGCAGAAGAGGACTGGGCCGAGGACGACTACGAGGAGTCGGAGATTCCACCGAGCTCGGCGGAGTTTCGACGCACCCGCGGTGATCGCAAGAAGTGGCGCGGAGGACCGTGCCCGGCCCCACCTCCACTCGAGGCCCGGTTTCAGAATATATACAAGCAGCCGAGATACTACCAGAAGTGGGTTAGGAAAGTGCACATGTGGAAGGCCAGGGCGCGACACTACAAGCCGATGGCCGAGCTGGCCCTGGACCTTTCGGACGTCATCACGGGCGAGGGCGCAGAGATGATCGAGTCTTTGGAATGGACCCGTTTGTATTCACCAGATGGTATTGATTTGGTGATCAACTCACTCGCCGTGTTTGACGAGCAGCAGATCCTACAAGTTGGAGACCTCATGGAAGAGTACGAAGAAGTGGAGCGCCTGCCCGGTGAGCTGCTGGCCGCGTACGTCGCTCATTTCAAGGATCTCGAGATGCGGCTCAAGCGGGCAGAGCTTCCAGCTCAGCAAGGACAATTTCGTGCATTCAAGTTGTTGCGAAGTTCATGTTTATCGCCGGAGGTTCGGCGCAACCTCCTCCTCGCGACGGGCAATGAGTATGACTTCGACCGCCTCGTTCAGGCTATGAGTGTGCAGTGGCCGTCCACCGCCCCGAACTGGGTTGCTCCAGTACGACGGATGGCACGCAAGCGACTCGGTGAGGCGGCCGCTCCTGAACGCAGGCCAGCTGGTCGAGATCACGATAAAGGAGGCGGCAAAGGACGAGATCGACAGTCACAGAATCGAGCTCCTCGACCAGCGCCGAAGCCGCCCCACGTCAGCGAGGCCGACATTATTCCCGAAGACGAGGCTGAGGAAAACGAAGATGAAGACGACCCCGATCAAGCAGAAGTAAATGAGGCTTACGCCGAGGAGGTTGACAGCATCCAGGTCATGCAGGAGGTGGCGGACGCTTTGACCGTCACGAGCGACAAGCTGAAGAAGCTGACCTTGGGCCGCGGGTGGACCGGAAGGTCCTCACCGCCGAAGCCTGGAGACCGACGCCCGCCACCGCGGTCAGCGCCCTCCAGTGGCGCCGCCGCCCCTGCGGGCCGGCCGCCCCCAGCGCCGCCCGGCAGGTCGCCGCAAACATCGTCAGCACCGCCACAGAGAGGCACTGCGACGCCGCCGGCCGGCACGTCTTTTTCAGGAAGCATTCGTGGAACGTTTACGGGAGATCGATCCGGAGATTCAAGAGCACCGGCGGCATCTCAGAGGCCAGGGTTTCGCCAGACGTCATCGAGGACCGGCTGCAAGGATAAACGCGATCGAGCTCGCGCCGTTCATGATGCCTCGATTGATCAGGACGAACCCGCTGATGAAGACGATGAGGAGTACGCCGCCGATGCAGTAGAGCACGAGGCCTTAGTCACGCACCTATCGCCTGACGAGCTGCAGCAGCGCGTGGCCGCCTTCAAGAGCAGGGTCGCCACCAGCGACAAGGGGGCCTCTCACGTTCGATTTCAGGCAGCGCCAGAAGTGCGTCAGTTTTCCGTGGATTCTCGCGGAGCTCAGGCGGCGAGAAGCGGGACAAAATCATCGCATCAGGTCGACGTCATCTGGCATGTCCGGACGCCCCTGGACGTTTGCTTCCTCGAGGATTCCCAGGGTTTCTACATTGTCATCGACACAGGTTGCCAGCGCAACGTTGTGGGCTACGAGTGTTTGGGAAAGTTTCTGGAACATATCGCCTACCTGGGATTGAGTTTCTGGGAAGCTGAGGAGCAAGAGAGGTTTCGGTTTGGAGTCAGTCGTGCGGTGAGCAAATCTGTGGTGTATTTCCCGATATGTCTTGAACATGTGGTGCCCCTGGTTTGCCGTACCTCAGTCTTGGACGTGAACCCTAAGTTGCCTTTCTTGGGATCGTTACCGATGTGGAAGCTCTTGGGCCTCCAGCTGGACACCTTGGGGGAAAGGGCTCATTTCACCAAGATCAACCTGTGCGACGTGCCCCTGAAGATTGCCCCGAATGGCCACTTGCTTCTGAGAGTCGACTCTTGGTTGAAGGATGTGGGGTTCCCAAGGGAGCCCGAGGCCTGGAAGTTCACCCCCTCGGACGTCATCATCCCGGAGCCCCAGTGGATCCCAGAGGCACCAACCTGTGTTTCCGGAGATAGTTGTGCTCAAGCCGAGTCTCAGCCTATGCAGTTTTCACGCGCAGCACTGTGTGCTCTTACATATACTCACCGCGGGCTGCTTCAGCCCCGCGAAGTCCTGCCCTCCGTGCCAGACGGCTGTAACCTGACCGACGCCACACCCGCGTTCGAGAGCATCCTCGGTCTGTCGGTGAATGAAGTCGGTCAAGTCGGAGTCGCAGGAGGCCCGATCGTCTCGTCGCACAGTCCAGCTGACGAGGCAGAACCTGGCGATCAACGCGTGGACGAACCTGATGCAGCTGATCATGAACCACCTGTCGCACATCATCGGTCGCAGTCGCGAGCAGTTCCGGCAGAACATGGAGATGTCGAACCGGATGATGGCCACGATCGCGCAGATGGGCCACGAGATGGGCTACCTGACACCGATGGCGGACTCCGTGAAGGCGATCGCGAGAGGAGCCGCACAGGTTCCAGAGAGCGTGCTGCCACCGCCGCCGGCACCGGAGGATCAAGCCCAGAACTACTCACAGCTGTGCAAGAAGAGGGACGCGTGCGCCCATCCGACAACGAGGAGGTACTACGCCAAGGGGTACTGGCTGATCTGCGACCAGTGCGGCCGGCGGTGGAAGTCGGTCAACGGGAAGTGGATCGTGGACGACAAAGAAGATCCTCTTCGCGTACCTACCTCGACAAAGTCACTGGGTTCCTCCTCGCGCTCTCGGCCAGCTGCTTCAACAATGCCGAGACGCCCGGTCAAGTCTTCGGCGAGCTCGAGCCAGGGTCGTACGCGGACCAAGGCGGAGCCAAGGTCACCCTCGGAGCAGGCGGTTCCGACGGACGAGGAGGACGACGAGAACATGGACAGGACCTCCGGGGGCGAGGAGACGGACCAGGGATGGGACAAGCTTCCGCGCCAGCCTCCCCAGCGCCGGGGACCGAGATGGCGAAGGGAGGCGCCTGGAAGCGCCTTCTCGGCATTGCTAAGAAGACGACCGCAGCCTGCGAGACGCTTATTAACGTGAGTCAAGATGCCGATCGCCGAGCTGCTGATTTACGAG